TTTCAAAGAAGATGATTACATTTTTTAAAAAGCCTGCTTTTATTGTTTTATAGAAAAATCACGTCACAGACAGCATCAAACTGCCATGAACTTCCATATCAATGTGTTTTTTTGCACCATGTTTTTCTCCCACACTGTTTACATTTGATCATTGCTGCACTTTAAGGAATGAAAATGTCATGAAAGCTGTACTAAACGAAATTTGGTTTTATATTCACTCTGTGTATACAAAATGACAATAAAAGTTGTCAAAGTTTAATGTAAACAGGATCAATAGCACCCCGCCCCCCTTTGCAGTGCTATGTTGTAAAACAAGCGCTCCCATGAGGCGGTGCTATGACAACATAAAGTGTATAACTGTGAGAAGCAGAAGGAGACAGAAGGAAACTTTCACTAGAAGAACTGAGTGGATCCCACCTTTGATCACAGGTACTTTCTGCTAAAGATAGATGTTGTTATGGTGCTAAATTAAGCTGTTATTGTAGCTTCAGCTGTTCAGCAAACTAAACATATTTATAGTATCAAATCCTGGTCTACAATGTTGTTGTTTACATTTTGTATTGATTCTTCATGTTCTGAAGGACTGTTCTCATTCTCTTAAGCTCAACCCAAGAAGGATGTTTGGTTTGCTGACTTTTGAAAAAGATTCAGGTAAAGTATTAAGCTAAATTATTATGAAAACTTGTTTTTTTTCAGGTAGTTTCTGACTACTTACCAATAAATGACTTTAATCTTAGATAATAAATGTAATTTTTTTCTCTGTAGTATATAAAATCTAAATATCGAGCATCAAAATATTTTAATTTATATTAAAATGTGCCAGCAATGATAAGCAGTCAGCTCCTTCTTTTCTCAGTTCCTCTGAAGAGCATTGAAGTGCAGCTGGAGGTGAAGGACCATGTCGCTACAGTGGCCTCCACTCTGAACTATGAGAACAAGGAGGATAAATCAGTGGAGGCTGTGTTTGTCTTCCCTATGCCTGGAGACGCTGCTGTGTGTCATTTCAGTGCTCAGGTTGGACAGACAAACGTTGTAGCTGAAGTGAAGGACAAACAGCAGGTGAGTTTTATGCTGGTGAAGATTCTCAGCCATGCAGGTCAGAGTCTTCCAAAAAAAGTTAAAAGAAATCCACTGGACTTTGTTTCCAAGTTTGAAGACGTTTCGCTTCCCATCCAGAAACTTTTTCAAATCAAAATGTCAGAAATAGCATAGAGTTCTAAGCTTTATACTCCCAACAAAGCCTTGTTTTTGTTTAGAAAACAGGCAAATTGAACCAGATGAACGGGTCCACCCCTTTTGAATGGGGGTCGGTTGGCTTCTTTTATTAGCCTGCAATGCCCCATACCTGTCTATGTCTAAAGGGAACTGTCGGCCTAGCTTCCGTTCACCTATAATCGGTTAATAATCTGCCAGTAATCATTATTAACAATAATAATTGTTAATAATCAATCGGTTAATATAATCGATTGAGGTTGCGATGATAGCGGGAAGCAGGTGACATTAATATACCCCTCTAAAGGAGCTGAAATGCAGTTATGTTTATTTTCTGGACTGCAGGCTCGGGAGGAGTACGATAATGGTCTGAGCTCCGGTCAGCAGGTATTCATATTGGAGGAGAGTGACGAGAGCCCAGATATCTTCGCTCTGAGTGTCGGCAATCTGCATCCAGGAGAGAGCGCCTCCATCAGGCTGGAGTATGTCACTGAGTTGGCTGTTCAGGCCGATGACGGACTGAGGTTCTGTCTGCCTGTTGTGCTCAACCCTCGATACCAACCTCAGGGTTTGTATGGAGACAGTCAGAACACTAGTTAATAGGATATAGAGAGAAATACAACGTTAATGGAGTGGCTCTCAGTGTAAACAAAGAGGTGTTTTTTTTTTTTTTTAGGAATGATTACAGATTCTAAGAGCACTTACAGAATATGAGCTGGGAATTTCTGTAGTTGGCTAAGACTGGGGGGCCTCAGAGTGCTGGGAGTTGCCTCAACATGAAGTGCTCGGCTATATTACGCAACATTTTAAAGTAATTTCTTGTTACAGCTGCGTGCCTTTAAACAGATGTTGCAAGTGAGGAATATTTATAGGACTCAGCGTGAAGAAAAACAGCATAAATACAGACCCATTTTTCAACACGACTTTTTCCAGAGGATGCAGGAAATAGTTATCTGACTGTTTTCAGTTTTACAGGCCATGTGTTGCCAGCGTCCCTCAGCAGCCATATATCTTTAGTTATTTTGGAGAAATGCCTATATGTTTGGTATTATAACATTTCTCTCAAATTTTCTCAATTTAAGAATGACTTGTTTTTTTTATTCTATCTTTTATAAATAATGCTAATGAACTAAACAAATCCTTTATATAAATTCCTATCTATATCATTATATCCTTTTCCTGACAAACTACCCTTTGCACAGTAAGATTCTCTTCACTCTTTGGCCAATAGTTGTAATTTTTAAGCTGTTAACTATCATAACGTTATGCTTCCTTATCAACATGCCCAAAGTGGCGTTGGATGTAGGAGTTTGCCCTGAAATCGAAGGATTGACGGTTCATTGTTGCTGTGTCCTTGGGCAAGACACTTCACCTGCATTGTCTACTGATGGTGGGCGCGATGGCGCCAGTGTATTGCAGCCCAGCTTCTGTCAGTGAGCCCCAGGGCAGCTGTGGCTACAATGTAGCTTGCCACCATCACTGTGTGAGTGTGTGCGTGAATGAATGTAGTGTAAAGCGCTTTGGTCCAGTTACCTGACTTGAAAAAAGGCGCTATATAAGTACATGCCATTTACCATTTACCAAAGTGGTATTTCCCTTGCTTCATACATTTGGTGTAATGCTCATGTGTTTTGCTCTGAGCAGCAACCGCCTTTCTTGTCCTAAAAAAACCCAGAAGGCCATTACCACCCTACGTAGGACCATTGCTGAGTTCAAAATCAGGGGCTGCGTCCTCCGAAGACCAGATTCGTAGGACGATGTCGTCATAGCGTGGCACCGCGGCCTGTTCAGATTGCAGGACTTGTTATGCGGCCGACAAATGCATCCTTTTTTAGCCCGTTTTGAAGGACAGGTCCGATGGTCCTTGTAGGACTTTGCCTTGCACCTGCTCAGTAAATAACCTCCCGAATTTCTCAGATTATTTAAATTCAGGTTATTTATGTAGCACCAATTCACATCACACATAATCTAAGGCAATTTACAGTGAAAGTTCATCCAGATCGTGAAGTCAGGTTGATTTAATGCTTTCAATCTAAGTAAAACCAGCAGATTGCATCCGGTCATTGACCTTCCAGGTTTCGCTCCAACTGGATCAGCAAGTGGCAACAGTTGACACTGACTTGACTTTTGTCATTGACTCTGCAGCAATTCCTCAGCAATCAATCTGATCAGCAAGCAGTGATGCGATGCTGGGTGCAATCATTTCTGCTACTACTAGTAGACCTACTACTAGTAGTTTATTTCTTCAGTCATTATAAACATTTAGAACACAGCAGTCACAAATGTATGGAAGGTCTTATACATTATACAATAAGAGAGCTAAATGAAGCCTGACCGAAAAGGTTTAGGCTGAAGTCGAGACTTATAAAGCCTAACCGCACTTACAAATGTAGCACTCTGCCCGAAGATGAAACATCAGTAGCTCTACCAATGACGGAAACATTTATGCATGAAACCTAAACATACACAATCAAAATGATGCTATGTTGTCATAATAACAGTTATAATAACGGTTATTTTAAAAACCGTCATTCAATTGTACTATATTTTTCCATAATATTTGAGTTGTAGATTAGATTTTTTTTTAATGCATGGATAGTTTTGGAGTACTGAAGTTGATGATGTGAACCATTCCATAGTTAATCTCTTTTAACTGATTAACACCTCATCTTTGTATTAGTCCTTGCCTTATGCTACGATCACACGGGGCACGCTTTTGGCGGCAAAAAACGTAGCCTCGTGAGACCATCCTGATCTCGCGAGCTTTCAAGATTTCTCTCGCTAATCAGTCTGGAGACTCTGGAGTCTGGACTTTGGAGCCGTTCACCAAACGAACGTCCAATCAGCGTTGGCTTTTAGGCGGGTTGAGGTGTGACGCAACGAGAAGCGCGACAGTACAGTCTAAAGAACATGGCGGCTTCAGCCGATGAAACTAGCGTTAGCGTGGCTATCGAGCAAGTTTTATCGGAATTACAGAGTATTTCTTCACTGTAAGAGCGAAACACTGCTCTGGAGGCTTTTCTCAGAGGAAAAGATGTTTTTGCTCTTCTCCCGACTGGTTTCGGCAAGAGTTTGATCTATCAATTGGCTCCTCTTCGTCGTCGCTCTGTTACGTCATATGCTTCGTTGATCTGATTGGTTTATTTGGCCCGTCTATCACCAACATAGGCCAATCAGCTAACCAGTATTTTCGCCCCTTCCCAAAATTACTTCTACAGAAGGTTTCCTGATGGATATGCGGAGCAAATCCATCTGGCGGAGTCAGGTTAGCAAAAACGCACCTGATGCTTAATTTTTAAAGCTTGCACACATTAAGGTCAGACGCGCCTCAAGAGCATCATGTTCCTGAAGCGTGTCCAGTAAAGTGCGTCCTAAAAATAAATTAAGAATATTATTTATATTCCTTTCAAACTCTTTAAAATTGTTTGGTTGCAGCATTTCATTGGCCAAGTTTCCTCAATTAAAAGCATTTTGCAATTTCCTGTCTTCATATATAATTGAGTTATTCACTGTGAAATGATCTGGGTATTCATTATTTTTCCTCCCATTCCTAATAATGCCATTCAATACCTTCCAGGTACCTTGGGCATCACTCTTGTTCTACTCCAGTAAATTATGATAATATGCTTTTTTATTCAATTCTATCATTTGTGTTAACTTATTTTTAGACCTTTTATACTTTTCTTCAGTTTATTTAGTCCTTTTCTTTAAATGTAATCTATAAAGTTGTTGTTTTCTTTTCCAGGCGTTGAATATAACCTTGGTAATCCATGGCTTATCTTGACTTTTATTATCTTTTATCAAATATTTCTTGCATGGGCAGTGCTGATCCTACAGTTGGATTAGAGTAAGTAGGAAGGCACTGTATGCCACATCAGGGTCAGAAGTTGCATACACTTCTACCTAAGTTTGGGCACATGGTTCAGCCTTGAATGCAGCGCTAACTTCAGGTGATCAATGTCTTACAAATTTGTCTTAAAACTGTGGCAAATTTTTGCAACAGTAAGAGAAACTGTTCTTTTTTTAAACTAACCTCTATGTCATTGAAATGTGTGTTTCCGCTGCAAGACGTCTCAGGCTAAACCAACTCTCAGAAGGGTTTTTAAAAAGCAATTAGATGACAAATTACCCAAATTATCACAAAATAAGCCACACATGGCTGAAACGAGCCTTACTTACAAAGTAGGGTTTTTTTGCAGTTACCGTAAATTGTTTATGCTAGGAATCCAATGATCACTTGTAACATTTTATAAAGGTTTTAACAGTATTAATCGATTGTATGTCTGTAATTGTTTCTCATGATGCTTCCAGGTAGTGAAGGTCCAAGCGTCCAGGTAACTTCAGTTCCAGCCTTTATGGTTCCCTACAGTCTGTCCTTCTCTGCCCGAGTCTCCTCTCCTCGCCCAGTCTCTAAAGTAGAGTCCAACTCTCCTCTGGAGCCACTTCAGTATCTCAGCGCTGATCAAACTCAGGCCACGGTGGGTAAAGAGCTAATGTTCCTGTTGGGTGTATTTTTTACAAACAGGATAAATCTTATAACCATTATTTTTTATCTGTAGTTTAAGTTGGCCGAAGAATACAAGTTTGACAGAGATGTTGAACTGCTGATTTATTACAAAGACGCCCAGCAGCCCACTGCTGTGGTGGAGGCAGGAGAGGCCTCTGCCGAACCTGGTGAGTAGAGAAGAATAATGTTAGATGTTTGATTTCTTGTCTGTGTGTGTTTTAGGAGTGCCACTGCCTCCATTCATTGCTAATTTTGTCACCATTACAGCTTAATTGTATAGAGGACAATCTTTTAATCCTGGGTAGATCACCTGAATAAGTGGTCCTCCTAATTGTCAATCATTCCGGTGATATGTTTACGTAAGGGGTTCCTATGCGCTCGTCTCGTTAGCGCACTTTCAGACAGTCATTGAAGCTCACCTTTCTCACTGCGGTTCTTTGAAAATGGCCGAAGGTTGTTAAGAAAAAGTGTCTAGAAGTGTACGAGAAGAAAAGAAAGGCCTCAGAAGAGGCACATATATCCCAGAATGCTTTGCATAGAGAACTCTCCTCACGCACACGTTTTTAAAAAAAAAATTCACGAAAATCTTCCACAACACCTTTTTATGCTCAGATAAGGAATAACTGGAATGGGATTCCAGTTATAAATCATAAAATCCACCAAGGAAAAAAATTAGGGACTTAGCTAAAACTAGTTCAGATGTTAGGGTAAGATTCAATAAAAGAAAATGCTTAGTAAAAAAAGATGAAAGATTAAACAGTAAATTACAAGCAGCCAAGAAGCTAGCTCCGGTGCCTTGTCGTGAAGCATGTAATAACTAGCATAGAAACGAAGAGTGACAATGTGATCATCCTGCCGCAGTTCAGGTATCTGGTTGAGTGATTAGGTACAGAAAAATTTAATTCTGTTTATCTAGCGATGCAAATAAGTTACAGTTATGTCCTCCATGCGTTTTGTACCAAGCTCCTGCTAAAAGCTCCAGTCGCCTGCTGGTATGACTTCTATGAAGAATAACAGCAGCTGATGACTGTTTCAATGGAGCTCAGGTTTTTCAAACGGCTCTAAAAGATGCTCCTATTAGGATGATTTATGGATTGATTCATGATCATGATTCATGAGTCAGGGCTCATAGATGCCACTTTATTGAGAATTGTTTAGTTTTTTTTAGCTTAAATACAAAACCTGTATGTGTTTCTGCAGTTTTGGCGTCATTATGACTCTAAGGGGGAGTGGTAGGCTAGTGGTTAGGACATTGCACTTGCGTTCCAGAAGTTCTGAGTTCAAGCCCCACTCCAAAGGACTGCCACTCTGAGCAAAGACCCTTAAAGTATTTAATATCATATTAAATTTTAAATAATTTTTGCTTAAAAATGTATATAAATGTACTCGATATCAGACATATTGTCCCAAAAGTTAGAACATTTCTATAAAAAAAAAAATCCTGTCTTAAAATCTGTTTTTTTTTTTCCTGGTTATCTTCTGCAGGCCAGTTAGTTCTACGTCAGCCTGAACAC